GCCACCATTTCGGCTATGGCAGTACACAGTTTATGGCTAGTTTCAGCCATAACTCACTGGAGTTAGTTTCACAAGCAAACACATGAAACTTTTTACTCCCCTATTCTTTATGAGAGTGTGGGCAGTTCTGCTTTTGGCACCATTGCCCTCTACTGGATGCCAGCAGAACTTCTTACCTGTGTGTCCTTGGTCCTAAGAGCTAATGCATATTCTCTGTTGGCTCAAACAGGAGCTGTTCTACCCTTCCTGAACATCCGTGATCAGTTTGCAGTACAGACATCTGTGTTGGGTCAGGGGCCTGTAGATTTCTCACCCTGTTCACCTCTAAGGGCTGATGATGAGACATGGGTTTGTGACTTGAGCAGGGAATGAGGAAAACCCAGAATCCATTAAAAGAAAGCAAGGATGTGGGGAGCTGAGTTGCTCTGGGAAGAGATTTATCACCAGGATCTCATCTTCTTCACATGTGAGTCACTGCCATCCCTGTTTCCTCACCCCTTGTGCTGATGCTCAAAAGGTGATACTGCAGCAGGCTGATTAAACAGATGATATCTGAGCTGGGAAATCAAGGTGAATCCCTCCAGGTGCCTTCCCTCCACACTGGAGAGCTCCTTCCCCTTGTTTTTCTGTAAGGCCAAGGGGAAACGTCACCCAGCACGATGATAGCTCTCTCCCAAGCCCCTTCAGCTCTGAACCACAGACCCAACCAGCTGCCACAGCAATGCTGACTTGCAGAGAGAGCCCCTGCCCTGATCTGAGACAAACAGGGTGATAAGGATCCGCTTTCCTGCAGTAAATCTGCCTCACTTCCCTAACACCAGTGAAGCTGGGCTTGGTTGGGATCAGTGTCACTCAGAATAGAAGCTACCCCCACTCTTTCCTATCAGATCACACTTCTAATGCAGTTCTGCAGACTTAATGGCATTCATCATTGGAGACAGCTGCATTATTCCTCATGAGTTTATCCAGCAGTGTAACCCTTTGACCTGGTGGCAAATAACCTGTGACTGTCACAGATTCAACTGTCCTTGCTAATGGCTGAATGGACAGTTTAGGCGTTTCATCCTCCTGATTATTTGCACACTGATTGCTTTAAGATACACACACGCACATTGTACTGCAGCACATGGATAGCAGGCAGGGTTGTGTAACACAACACTGTGTAGACACGCAAACACAGAGCGCTATAGAAGGTAGTGGCATGTAACATACCACTTATACACACTGTGGTTGTTAGGCAGTGCCTTATAAAACACACACATGCACATATTGTGTTATAACAGGCAATGCCATTATAATATATATACCATTATAGGAAGCAGTGCCATCTCTCTGTCATATAGACATGTAGAAACACACACATGTACACAGCACTATGGCTGGCAGTGTCACCTTACACAGCATCATACATCTGCATGCACATATACACTAAGAAAGCATCATATAACACCCACAGATGCATACAGGCACACAGCCACACTATGCTTTAGCAGAAAGGAATACAGTACCCCCCTCCCACATGCACATATCACAGCTTTGCAAAGTGAAGCAAGCTCTTTCTTCTGCAGTGCTTATCATTTTCTTCTGTCTTGTTTCCTTCCCTTTATATAATATGACAGGTCACTGTGGGAGGCTCAGAAGACAAGCAATGTCAGGGCCAAAGCAGAGGGAGGGCTCTACCAGTACATGGAAATAAGGAAGCTCCATACATTAGGATAGCTTGGCCTGGGTTAAGGTATAGGCACTTCCACCCTATGCCAGAGACCACAGATCCCCAAATCACAATTATGGCAGAAATATGCCCCCCTGCTCAAAAAAAGCAAGTGCTTAATCTCTAGTATTGCAATGACTGGAGTGTAACAGAAAGGTCTGTTTGAGTCTGCGGAGGGCCTCAACTGATCTCTGGGTGTGACACTGCCTGAATCTGCTGAGAGCCTGAGCCACTTGCTCTGAAGGAACCAATGCCTTTCTCTCTGAGGACGTTAACTCCTAGCTCTCCTGCTCCCAGGGGCTCAGTCTAGGCCTGGAGTGACAGAGCACAGTAGTGTGACTCATGCACACACACATCCTTGCTGCTAAGTGCTAGTTGTTGCTACACCTGCCTCTCTGACAGACCTCTTGGCTCTGCCCCACATCTCTGGGATGGAAGGGACTCCGTACTCCTGCACTGCAAATGTGGTAGGGGCTGCAGCACAAAGGTGAGGTCACACCATGCTCCAACGCAGTTTGGGGACAGCCTATTCAGTGGGAGAGCAATTGTGAGCCGCACATGCGCCTGCCCATACACAACACCAGCTCTCCATTTAACCTTCTGCTAACTGAATCACATTTTTCATAATTGCTTCCTCTAAGGCCAGTTTAGAGGCGCAGCCCCTGCTCCCTCATAAACCCTTGCTTCTCTTTGATTTCCTGCAGACAGCCCCCAAAAGAAGCACCTGGAGGCATGGTACATGCCAATTCTGCTACGCAGGTGCCACTGCCCCAGCTCTGTGCTGATAAATTGATTGGTGACAAAGAGGTTAGCTGCACTGAGCTGAGCATGCCAGTCACCAGTATTACTCCCTCACCCTGCCCTGTGAAGACATATCTTAAAGGAAAATTCCTGCCTCCCATGTGACTCTGATGAATGTAGCAGGACAGTACACATGTGCATGGGACTAGCTTAAACCTTACCTCTTGCACTGCTAAATAGCAGAACCATCCTGCTGGAAGGGATCAATGAACTGGTGGCCCATCTTAAGCCTGTGGTCCAGGCTGACGGCAAAATTAATTGAGTATCATGGTGCACAACACTTCCAGTGCTTTATTCCCCCCACTTAAGTGTATTATTAGTTATCTGTATTGGAATATCACCAAGAGGCTCCAACCCACATCCAAACTCCATTGTGCTGCAATCAAGCAGATGTCAGGGATGATCCCTGCCAGGGAGAGCTTATAAATTACAGCCTGTCAGTGTGTTGCAGCTGCTGCTTTTCTAGCTCATACTTATTTTTAAGTTAAAATTGTGCTCCCTGCTGTCTTGATACCATCATGTGGCCATGAGTTCCCCCTGCAATTGCCCTTTTCAACTGTGTGTCTATTTTTTCCCTCCCACTTGCTGCTCCTATCAGATCAAGATTGCTCAAACCCTTTCTAACCCTACCCCAGATTTTCCAGCCAGCTGCAGCATGGGCTCCTAAGGAAAAACATGCTCCAGCTGCACCTGGGTTTGGTCCTTAATTAGCAATGAGCCTTTGTACATTTCTGACTCAATAATGCCACTGTTCCTTGCATGGTCACAAATCAGAAATGACTGAGGTGGGGAGAAGAGGAAATCAAAGTCAAAGCCAGGCTAAAGGGAGATGCATCTTGGGTGCTGGAAAACTGGTAGCCTGAGCTAAGAGCAAGGCACTGCAGTGTAATAAGCAAATAGCTTGTGACAGTCAGAAAATCCAATGGCTCTTTCAATGGAATTGAGCTGACAAGCTGGGCCTACAAGCAACCTGGACCCTTGTAGACTACAAAGCAATCGGGCTAATTCCTGCCTTCTCATCGTATCATCAGAGGCTCAACAGAGGTTTAACCCTCCAACTGGCTGCAAAGCCATGGGTCAGAATGCTGTTCTTTTGGCGGCTAGAGTGGGGCTGCAACTGCTTAGACAGCTATATCTTCAGACACCTGTCCAGGTCATGCCCAGCAAGTAATGGCATCAGCCCCTTTAGAAGGCTGAAGAATGGGTGCAGCCCCCTTCCATCAGCCAAGGCTGGTTCTGTGAAGGGCAGTAAACCACTGATCAGTTCCCAGCCACACAGGTGTGTCCAGCAGCTCATGGGGGAGGGGGGGGGCAGTGATGCTCCTTGACTCTGAGACTGAATGTACCAGGTTTGGGCAGACTGTCAGGGGGGCTGCAAATGGCAGTGCCCGAGTGCAACCCCTGCAGTACCCAGCCTGCACAGTGACTAGGGCAGCATGTGACCCCCACTATGAAGTTAGACAGCCCTGGTTTAAATGGCAATTCTCCCTCCCTGGTGCTGGCCCTCCAACACATTTATAGGGCAGTCATAGCCTCTCCAAGTTGTCATTTGGCCAGGCTAAAGAATCCAAATGCTTCTCATCTCCTCCTGAGCCAGGTACACCCCCACAATCATCCGACAGGCCACTGGCTACAGTGTCCCTCCCAAGCAACCAGTGGTCTTGTGGTTAGGGCACTCACTGGGGCAAAGGAAACTGTTGCTTTGAACCACCTTGGGCAGAGGAAGATGATGGACCTGGAGCTCTGAGAGGTGGTGGTAGAAGGGGGATTAAAAGAAAGCTGTGGACCCCCTGTCCTTTATAAAAAAGCCCTATCAGGGCAGGCAAGTCTTCTCCATACATGGATCTTGTAGACAGAAGCCAGAACTGATGCTGCAGTGAGAGAACTTAGTTCAAAACCACCTCTGAGGGCAATCTGGGGAACAGGACAAGTTCTGAGGAAGTTTCCAATCACTGTAACAGAGGAAATTGGTGGCCATTTGAAAGCAGTGGAACAGACAGAGTCCGATGGCTGAAGCGAGCCAGCCAGGCAGAGAGACTTCCTGCCCTGCATGAGTCCAGCACCACGGATCCAAGCTTGGCTTTGAGGCCTTCAGGCACCTGATAGCGCAGGTCAGTGCCAAGTGGGACTTCCAGAAGCACCCAGCTCCTGCTGGCTCTCATCAGTCCTACCAGGTGCCCACATAGCTGGACCCAAGGTCCAAATATCTTAACTCTGGGCTCATTTCTGTTTCAATGGGACACAACCTGCAGCTCCATCCCCGACAGCCCCTGCTCCTGTCCTTCCGCGAGCTCACACCGCCGCCTCGGGGGAGGAGGGCATGGAAAGCGGCGCCCCTGCGCCAGGCCTGCTCCACGCTGCGCGGGGCATTTGCTGGCTGGATCCCAGCGCCGGCACGAAGCCCTGTGGCAGTTCAGCCCTCTGCGCTGCCCGCACCCGCGCACGCCTCTGCCAAGCGCAGCCCAGCCAGCGCCTGCCCCCTGCGGGCTGGTCACGACGGGAACTGGGTGCTCGTGGACACGGAGCAGGCAGATGCCGTGGTCTGGATGGGGCCAGAGGGAGCCGGACATAGACGCGACCGCCCGCATCGCCACGACCCCTCCCGCGCGATGCTCCCTTCCTGCGCATGCTCAGTAGCAGCCGGGCAGCCCCGGCGGAATCCTCCCGCGCATGCTCAGTAGCAGCGGGGAAGCCGGAGCGGGTGGTGTCGTCCAGCCCCCTCGGGAGGAGGAGGTTGGGTTGTGACGTTTCTTTCGCTTCCGGGTGGTTGCCTAGCAGCGCTCAGCATGTCCGCTCCGGGCCCGGCCGGCCCTAGCGCGGGGGCGGCGGGGGGCGCGGGGCGCGACGCGGCCCCCGGGGAGG